CCCCCCCCCCCCCCCCCCCCCCCCTCTGCATGGGACGCTAATGACCCGGCCAGGTGTGAAACCCAGACCTCTCAACCCGAAGTCTATCGCACAGACCTTTAACCGTTTATAAACTAATAAAACCAAGGTTTCTATGAGTTTTAGAAAGATAACAAACCATAACAAAGTTCATTTTTCGTGACATAATTTAGATACCAAGAAAAAACAGTCTCCTCCTTTGAAAAAACAAACTAACAACTCACCGCCGTGGTCAACTCTCCCCAGTACTTGCGGTTTCCCGCAAGACTTCGCCAAGCTTCCATTGGCACATCTAAAACGGCAAAATCAAAGAAATTCTAAAAATGATATAATAGATTGTATATTGTAGGACCAAATCACTGCGAGAACACCATACCTTTCGCTTCATTAAAATTACTAGTTTCATTTCAAGCAGATCAGTTCAAAACAAACTTTGCTTCATATCTAAACAATTGACATCAGTGCATCTTACCGGCACAATGCTTCGTTGGTATCATTCTTGACAACACACTCTAGATCACCGCATAATTCTCTGCGACGATTATCTTCAAAACATGGGTCTAAAGCACAAATTTTGTTTCCGACGTAACGATATCCTTTTCGACATCTGCAGAACACAGAACAAACCAGGCGTTAAATTTAGGTAATTTAATTAACTCTTGTAACTTAATAAGAAGTTTGGAAAAAACAGACCCCATTTGGAAAGCCACTTGGTACTGTTTCGATGAGGCACTATCTATCATGTCATACAATCTGGTACTAATTATCAAGTTCAGGAAAAAATATTAAACTGTTTGCAACCACTGAAATAAAAGCTTTTGAAAGTATTTCCATAAGGTGCTATCTATCTGTCTCAGAACGATGGTTCTAACTGTTAAGCCTGAGGATGAACCTCCAACGAGCTATTGTTTGAATTCGTACCAGTATGCGGCAATGTAATATCCTCGAGGTATTAATTAGAAAAGGGGCAGTACCATGTTTGGACAAGGAGCAATTCTTACCTGCAAGCAAAATGCCCATCTCCTACAATGCATGTTCCTCCGTGACTACAGCTAAACAGAGCACACGTGACCTCACATAATACACCCATTGTTCGTGGTAGGCAACTGGAAAGAGAGAAAAAAAACTCAACAATCATACGGTTTAACGTGACAAATCCACCTTGTAACGCTGCTGCTCCCTCACTAGCTGTAAAGTTTGTAACAAAACCCGGAATACTTGGAAAACAATAATTAGAACTGCTTTTGCACAAACGTTATCCCAGGATACTACGAAAGAGTATACAACAGTAAACAGAAGAATACAGCTATAAACAGAAGTTTATACATCAATAGCAGGCTATATCTCCTCTGTCTACGCCTCAGAGTTAACACTCTGCCAGAAAAATCTGTTGAAAGAAAAGCACCCAGGGGGAAGTTTAGAGTTCTAGGACCTAATCAAAAAGAGCTATGAAAATCCCGTTGTTTTCCTTCAAACGTCTGCTCACATGCATTGGGCAGCGAAATCGATATCTACGATTCGCGGTTGATTCAACAGAAATACAACACTTTTCGCGGGAAAACGCCGTTGTAAAAATTAAACCTACTAGGTGAAGGGCTGATTCATGGAATCAGAGGACATAGAGGCTCGCGCTGAAGAGCTCCTGGCTATAATGTAACAAGCAAAAGTAACGCAATACTAATGCACGTATGTATATATCAGTTGAACAGCACGTCAAGGACAACTTCTTTTCTCTAGATAAGGAAATAGAAATGAAAATATTTTAAAAACACACAACGTACTTGCATTTCGGTTTTCCTTCTTCAATGACACAAATCCCTCCATTCAGACACTTCAATGTACATAACTGTGGGGTGGGTGTGAAGCTTATCTCACAGCGTGTTCCAGTCCAACCTTTTGGACAACTGGAGAAGAGAAGATAAACAAACAAACAGACAGAATATAAACAATAAAAATACAAGAAAGTAAATATTGAGTAGAGAAAAAAAATTCCGACCAAATTTTTCACAAAAGTCGCTAATCTGTCGATCTATCTCCCACGGTCTTTTTAGCAAGCTGTGACGTTATTAATTCTTAGTGTTTGTAACCTCGAGTTAAGACAGATAAGCGTTTCCATAAAATGCTGTGTAACATAACACAAAATGTCCTTCCTAATTTTTCCCCGAGAGAAATTAATGAGAGGGCCGTTTCGGCGAGAAAAATTGTGGTAGCCGCGTTGAAAGTCGTCATTACGATGGGTTTTTTCCTAGCGACTGAAATGCTATATCTGGCTACCTCTAGTGTGATTTAGGTCGCCAAATTGAGTTTTGAGGAGCATAGAGAAAGAGAAAGTTGAGCAGCTGTAGATAAAACTCACCGACAAGAGGCATTATTCCTCACATTAACACAAGTTCCTTTTCCACACAGTCCAAGCCAACACACTGGGGGAGGACGGGGCGGTTTAATTCCTGCAAAAAGAAGTAAAAAAAGCCTACTTAAGTGGAAAGGAGAAAGAAGAAGCAAAGGAACAGAGATAAGGAGTAAAAGCAGAAAGGATAATGCATATGAGACCTTAAGGAGTTCAAACGGCTACGCCAAGGGAAACATGGATTAAACGATGAAATTCCATATTCATGAAGAATTTCTAGAATGACTGGATGTGTTTACCGATTCTTGCGGCGTCAGATCTCAATTTCAGCATAAAGAGATAACGAGGTACTACTTAAGGTAGTTTGTTAAAACTGATCGCTAATAAGGGTACTCAACTGGCAATCACGTTGTCGGACAAATCGAACAAAGGTGAGAAAAATGTATATAAGAAAACAACAACAGACGCATACCTGTCTGACAGTCACCAGATTTTCCTGGGTCTCCTGTGGGGCACACACACACAGGCTTCTGACGACTGGACAGGCAAAGGTGAGAGCACTTGTTCTTTCCGACAGCACAGTTGTTGACAAAGTCTGAGGATAAAAAAAAAAAAAAATATTTAGAATTTGGGCTAAGGTAACTAATTTGGCTTTGATTTTACAACACTAAACCCAAAGCACTCTAATACTTCAAAAAACTACATTTCAACTTCGCATTGCATTAACTTTACGGGAAAAGTTCCGAAGTAATTCCGACTCAAAAAGAGAACATTCTTAAAACCGCACGACCCTATACGATTCAACCGAAAGCTTTTGTTTTCAGTTTGTTCACCTCTCTTATCAGCCAATGCGATGTCAATTGCACAACAACGTGTACTTAACGACAACAAAGAGTATACATCAAATAGTCAACTGAGAACCTAAGCAGCGAAATTTTGCCAACCTCTTGGTACATGTTGTTGCTGTTGCTGCAACACAACCAACCCAACTGGACGCTTGAGTCCATGCACCAAAACCGTCAGCTGACCTTGGCCAAACTTGTTCAACTTGTACAGTTTACCAGCTTGCACTGTGACGTACACAAAATTCTCGTGCAACGCAATCGTCACGGGTATATCATTGCTTGGAAACTCTCTTACAAGTTTCCTGTCAAGTCCGTCTACGCTAACAGATTCAACACGTCTTGTTTTAGAGTCACACAAGTAGAGTCGTTTCGCTGGAACGTCAAGGGCCAATCCGACTGGCCACTGGATTTTGTCCCGTACAAGAATTGTGCGATTCCCTCCTTCCATGAGCGCTGTGTAAATGGCCGGCTGGTAACCCAATTCGGACCAATACATCCGCCTGCAGTTCAAAAATAACGCTTGAATTATTTGCGACATACAGATAGCGCGATTTGGACCCGCCCCTAAAACACAAGGTAAAGAGCTCTAGTTTCAGAGACTGGGCCCGAAAGTAGTTGAGTTTAGATCGAGTGTAGTCATGCATGTCGCTTTTGAGGGAGTGTTTTTCCTTACAAAAGGTGTGCGAGAATGAAAACGGTTGTGTTTATAGTAAGAAAACCTGTGATTGTGACTGCGGGATACTATACTTCTTTTGCCACGGAGGAATTCCCGAAACTAGTGAGGAATTCCCGAAACTGTTACCGGTAACTTTGACCAGTTTCTCTAATTAGCTTTGATTATTATATTATTTCAGACATAGCACTATGTGTCTCCGGGTTATGGCTAACTTTCCCCTTCACAAGTTCGCCCTCTTCCACCTTGCGAGTTCACCCACTAGCGAGCTAATAATTTTGACTGGTAATTTCAAATTATTTCGAACTGCTCCAGAAAATGGATCATTAAAATTTGCACGTGTCTCCGGTTTATAGTGAATTCGCTCTATTACAAGTTCGCCTCCACCGTTATCAGCTCGCCCCAAAATATTTTGTCTCGTTTCCCTTCTATAGAAAGTCATGATATGTTTACGACCAACATGGAATTTTCATAGCGAAACCATAACAAAGTTCGATTAACATGCAAATTGCCAGCCGTGTTAAGAAAGTACCATTAATACTAACCCGGCAGGCGGATCAAGAACAAGGGCGTGTGGCATGTTCATACGTCCTGAGAACAAAGTGTATCTATAGTAACCATCCTTTGATGCCACTTCAATGACGCGTTTTTTTGCGTCAGTCCAATAGATATTCCCACTTAACCAGTCCACGGCTAAACCTTCCGCTCTTCCCACTGGAACGTAAAGATCCTGTATTTCCTGCTTTGTTTTTCGAGGGACAGCGCGGGCCGTACGACGATTTAATTCTTCCCCGCCTTGAAAAAAAGCCGAAGGAATAGTTTTAAAAAAGGCCCCCAAAATAATGAGTAGTATTGCTTGAGCAAAAAGAAAAGCTCCCGTTGTTCGAATTTTACATCTCTTCATTTTGCTCAAATTTCAAGCATTTTAGAATGTAGGACAAATGGAATTAGGGTTTTCATGTGGAAAAACGGACGTTTTCATCGAGAGACAACCTAATTTTCTACGCTTCATAGAATATTCTTTACTTAAGGATGGGGCTCCGCTAGTACAATTTGGAAGCACGAGCTCCGCTATAACACCCTCTTCCGAGGACAATAAGCTTCGTCAGGACCAACTGCAAACCGAAGCGGAAAGGGAGTTAAAGGTCATTTATTACAGGTAGCCTTGGAAAGATGTATCACCTGGTACTTTAGCCCGTTTGATGGTGCCTTTTCTCAAGTCGGTCCAATATACCAGCTGTTCCTTCCACCACACAGCTATAGCCCCTACGGAACCCTGGCTGAAAGCTATTGTTCCGTAAGGACCCCTGTTATTGTCGTCCAGCCCCATGTGCCGGATATCTCCACCAGATGGGAAAAGAAGAGATGGAGGTTTCCCTGCAATTTTAGGAAAAGATTGTACCGCATAATCTAACATTACAAGAAAGAGACCAGGGAGGCGCATTATGCGATCCTATTTGATAAGAGAAGTGATCATATTACGCAACAATTCCACCCGGTAATCTTCTGTACCGCGACAAGACGCTGGTTTAGGACACTCAGCCCCCCTATTGAAAATATTCTCATCCACACCCCTTGGGAAGGCTAAATAATCATTTCCGAAACGTTTACGATCGCACTGCACGAACACTTTCCCCGAAATTCAGTTTAAGTTTTCTTCGAGTTTGGAAAAATTTAAAACTCGTATCCATAGCGTGTACAACCTCATATTTATTTCCAAATTTCTCGCAATTATCGACTGAATGTTAGGTTGCAAACTTCCGTTATTTACTCAGATATTAACTAAATGAATGAACCAACTCACCTGTAGCCTTGCATTCTTTTCCGTCCACACCATCACTGACGTAGCCCTGATTACACTGACACTTGTAGCTTCCTCGCGTGTTCATACACTGCTGGCTGCACGCACCGAATGTCTGACACTCGTCAATGTCCACACACTTCCGTGAGTCCACGGACAGTTCAAAACCATGCCAGCAGAAACACACCACCCCTCCGTCAAGCAAGGTACAATTCTGCTCGCAGCCACCGTTGGTGTCCCCACAAGATTTGTGTCTTCCACCTGGAGATGAAGGAAGCCAATGTGAGCTGAGTGTCATGAAGGCAATAGGTGTCTCAGAAAGTTAGTTTGCTACGAGGGAACAAGACTATATGGAAAATGCTCGGTGCTGAGCATTTTCGTATAGTTATCTCAAAAAAGGCTAACATAGGCCAGTAAGTCACCGCGTTTAAAAAAAATCACGGGACACCCGTGATTAAATAGGCTTAGTAATCAAAAAGTCTCGAGTTTTCCGTTTCCCTACTTTTTGTTCCCTTTACTTGACTTTTATGAAGGCAAATTTTGCATGACAACGATTATTTCTTTTGCTTTTCTTTGAAATTATGCAAATAAATTTGATCCTCTTGCGCACGCCCGATGTTTGGCCGATGTTTGACAAGCTTACCACAATATTTCTCATCCGACGCATCACCGCAGTCATCTTTACTATCACAAACAAACCCATTAGGAATACACTTCCGGTTAGCGCATTTGAACTGGGTGGCGTTACAACCAATCGCGACTGCAGAGCACGACCGTTCATCAGACCCGTCACGACAATGAGTCACACCGTCACAGACTTGCCATTTGGGAATGCAGACGTTGTTTTCGCAGCGAAACTGCGTGTGCAGGCAGCTGTGAGCACCTGTAAGGGAAGGTAGAGAATTGAATCTAAACATATCGTAAAAACAATAATGGCAGTAATAACAGCAATGGCAATGACAATGACAATGGCTATAATTATAGTGATGGCAGTGGTAATGGAGGGCTCGAAATCAACGCCCGCAACCTCACGAAATGCGAGTGATCTAGATAAATTGCGAGTGAGAAAAATATCCACTAGTAAACGTTTGTTAGTTAAAATCGTCCAAGTCTCCCAAACATGCAATAAATGTTGGTGGCTTTCAGGACAACGACAAAGGAGACAAAACATTCAACACCTTTTTTATAAAACTTTCCAGCTCATTAATAGCCTATGCGAAAATTAATTCAAATCTTTACATCAGATATGATCTTCGACATTTCAAAGGGAAAGAATTTGCCAGTGATGGAAAAATGTTACCAGCAAAACTTTGCAAGTGGACTTAAAAGTTAACTTCGAGCCTAGAATGGCAGTGGCAATGGTATAAGGTGATGATGATGGCAATGGCAATGATTATAGTCATGGCAATGGTTATAGCAATGAAAATGAATAGTGATGGCGACTGCATAAGCAATGGTAATGACACCGGTAATGGCTACAACAGTGCTAAGGGTAAAATCGATGATAATGGTATTGGTAATAGTAATGTAAGGGAATGTGGATAAATGAATCTACACATATAATAACAATAATGACAGTAATAACAGCAATGACAATGACAATAACAATGGCAATAATTTTAGTGATGGCAATGGTGATAGCAATGGCAATGGTGTGGCAGTGGTAATGACAATGGTAAGGGTGATGGTGATGGTGATGGAAATAGCAATGATTATAGTCTTGGCAATGGTAATATCAATGGTAATTGCAATGGAAATGGCAATGACAATGGTATGGGTGATGGAAGTGGCGATGGCAATGATCATAGCCATAGCAATAGTTACAGCAAGGGTAATAGTAATGGTGATGGCGATGGCGCTAGCGATGGCGAAGGCGAAAGCGATGGCAATGGAAATGGTGTTGGCAATGATTACAGTCATGGCAATGGTTATAGCAATGGAAATGACCGGTAATGGCGACTGCATTAGCAATGGCAATGGTAACAGGGAGTTTAAGAAACGACGATGGCAACGCTGTGGACAACATTGGTTAACCACGAATCTCGCGATACTCTTAACAAGTTATAGAGTTTGTTTTTCACTTTCAAAACTGAATATGGGTTATGGTGATGGCACTCGTAATAATAACTGCAAAAAACAAAAAACAAAAAAACAAAAAAACTGGCTGTGGCAAAGGAAATGGCGATGGCGGTGGCAAAAGAAATGACAATGATAAAAACCGTGGAAATGGCAGTAGCAGTGGTAGTGGTAATGGCGGCAGCGATAACAATGGCCAATACCGGAGCATATTTTTGCACAACATGGAAGTTATTGTTCAAATAAACAAAGGAAAATTGGCTACAAACAACACTTACGACAGAGCTGTTCTGCCTCGTCACTTCTATCTCCACAATCGTCGTCACCATCACAAACCCACGTCTTGTGCACGCATACCAAATTACCACAAGTAAACGTCTGCGCAGGGCAATGTCGACCACCTGGGTAACGTGCTGGGCAACCTGTGCAAGAAATGTAGGGAATATCCTTAGGTTCAAAATTTCAATTTCTGTTTACTTATGGCGATTTCCGAATAATGTGTTTTAGGACATGAAGTCTTCAAAGCGTAGCCAATTGAAAGCTATGAAGGCAATTTCACCGAGTGATGGTCTCTACAATTAAAAAGAGGCCAAGTTCGATGTGCTGTGTTCGCAAGAATACACTTAACTCTAGCAGAGGTCTCTCTACCCCGGAGTATAAATGTGTAAAAACTGAATGGTCAGGTAAAACTGAATACAAACTAATCATGATCCGGCAGCTACAACACGCACTCTTATAAATAGACTTCACGTTACCCTGTTCATCTGATGCATCATCGCAGTCTCTCTGACCATCACACTTCCAATCTTTCATTATACAATCACCATTGCTACAGGGCACTTGGTCGCCTCTGCACGATCTTCGATAACAGTCACGCTCGTCTGACGCATCGCTACAGTCATCCTCGCCATCACAGACCCATTCAATGTTGATACAACGCCCGGAGTTACACCTGAATCAAAAGAAAAAATAAAATAGGAAAAACGGACTCGTTGCATAACGTGACAGAGGAACAATATCAAATGAGCCCAGCAAAGATGTGTTGAGTACTTTCAGTTAACGGTTACCTGAACTCAGTGTTTGAACAAGTACGCGTGGGACATTTGTCTTCATCAGCTCCGTCGTTGCAGTCATTTTCACCATCACATCTCCAATCATAGGGAATACAGTGTTTATTGCGGCACTGGAACGAGCCAGCCTCGCACAGGTGTCCTAAATAACACGAAGTATAATACAAAAACTTAGTTCCTTATAAAAGAGTCAGAAATTGATGGGAGTAACAAAAAAAAAACAGTTTATCCACCAGCACATGTTGTTTTACATGGACTCAGCTTTCACTAGGCTGGGGAGAAATAAATTTGAACCAAGGGGGTTGAGCAGCAGTCAAGATAAAAGGTCTGAAGAGGTGGCGGGGGAAAACACAGAATAAGATCCTTAAATCAAGAGTTCAAGACTGATGCAAGCAATTAAAAAAGGAAAACTTAGAACAAACCTCAACGGACCTGTTAGGTAATAGGTACTAGGATAAAAAAGTTTAGTAGTCACTGATTTCCTAAAAAGCACATGATATGATACAGAGAACGGGATCCTATTAAAGAGTTCAAGATTTACGCAAGTAATGACCTATAGTTTCATGGACCCCTAGGTTAATAGGTATTGAAAGAGGGGAGCTTATAAACTGGAAATGTGTAAATACAAGAAATATGAACCTTCACAAACATCTATGGATTCGTCTGAACCATCGCTGCAATCGGCATCCCCATCACAAGTCCACAGCTTTGGGATACATTTGCGTGAGTTGTTACACTGGAAGCGTGACAGAGGGTCACAGGTATGATTGTGGCAAATCTCTTGAGACTCATCACTTTCGTCTCCACAATCATTATCGCCATCACAGAGCCACTGGCGGCTAATACAGCGACCGCCGGGACAGGTGTAGCGGTCGCCAGAGCAAGTGGTCGATTTGCAGTGCGCCTCGTCGGAATGATCACCGCAGTCATTACGGTTGTCACACACTTGTGTTAAGAATACGCATTTGTTGTTTGCACATCTAAATTGGAAAGGGAAGCACTGTCGTACTGCGCATGACTCTTCATCAGCACCGTTCCGGCAATCTTTGTGACCGTCGCAGATGGCAATGACCGAAACGCACGTCGAGTTATCACATTGAAACATCCCTAGGACAAACATGGAGAAAGCCCAGGATCAGACAACAAGTACATTTATGTGGAAAACAGTGGTCGACAGAAACATGAGTGCTAGCCAAGATGGTTAGTCTCCCTCCCCACTCCCCTCTCCCCTTTCCTCCAAATTTTGATGCTGTCGGTTTACGAATTAAGTTGACAGTCACTTTCAGAACAACAGTTGTTAAAGAGGAAAAGGGAACAATCACTTCGTCTGAAGGAGCGGAACGTAATCAATACCACCGCTGTACACAACAATCTTACAGTCACCTGGTAAATAGGGTGGGCGAATAGGAGGAATGATATGTTAATGCACTCCACCCCTCCCCGCCCCCCTTCCCCCCCCTTCCCCCCACCCCACCCCTCGATCGAAGTACAAATCTTAGTGTTACCTGGTGAACAATGTCTCGGTGGGCAGGAAGGGGGCTCATCAGAGCCATCACCACAATCATCATCTCCATCACACCGCCATAAGCGTGGAATGCACATGTTGTTTGCACAAACGAAGTCACTGTTGGTGCAGTTGTCCAAACAAGTTTTACCATCATTGGCCAAATGATAGTTATCCGGACACACACAGCTGTAGCTCCCTCCTGGCTTCAACAGACACAGGCCAGAGCAAGAGGCGTTCACACAAGGATTGGGAAGAGGAGGCTGACGTATGGGATGAACTACCTAGAATAGGAGGATACATCAATGTCTAGTTCTGAAGTCATTTATGCACATTCAAAATGAAAAAAAAAAAGTTTGTTTGTGCTCGTATCCGGGTCGTTATTAACAAAACTTTTCTTTTATTCTCTCAACATCCCAAGAGGGTTATTACGCCGGAATAACGAAGTGAAGAAAGTGCGGTCTTTTCCTTTAAAAAAACTCCTTTCTAACGCATGTTACAAAACTCGATCGTTATCTAAATCCGTCTTGTATTCCTAAGACTGTAAAGGCATGTACGAAACGTAAGTTTGCACTTAGATCAAATATGCATAAACAACTACGCTTACTTGTAAACCCATGAGCCTGTGAGTTGAATTCAACAGAACAGTATGCTGCAATCCCGTCAGCCTATGAGCACGATGAATGGCCATCGTCATCCAATCAGTCCAGTACACAAAGTCCTCAAACACACTAATAGAGAACGGATGCGGGGCGTACAAATGAGACAGCTGTGCACGATTTCCACCGTCTCGATCGCAAGACTCGACCACGTCCAACTTGGCATCTACCCAGAATAATCTTTTAGTAATGTGACAGAGGGTCAATCCGTTGGGCCAACCGATGGATTTACTGGTGACGAGCCATCGACAGCCAGAGCCATCCATTCCACATTTTCCGATATGCGGTTTGTTTCCCCAGTCGCTGTAAAACAAGTGGCCTGTTGAAGTGAAAGTAGAGAAGGCACAAGGTTACCTTTCTTATAGGAATCGAGGATCGTTGAAGCCACGGTAATCAATTATCGCGCTGTTAATTAAGTAAGGAAATACCTTCCAGTTAAGGAGATCATCGCGAAATAGGTGACAAACTTTCTTAATGAGGGAAACGAGTGCGGCACAAGTCGAAACGAACCATTTCGTATTTAAAAACTGAATTAAAAAAAATCCCTCAAGGAAAGTAACACATTCACTCCAATGCTGACTTCTCCGTATAGTATCACGTCTGAATCAAACAATAAGATCATGATAATAGGGCAAAGATTACAAACTAGGGAAGCTCCTGCGTGTTAAACAATTTTTCCTTGTCAGTACATCAGGAAACGCAGAGAGAGCAGTATACAGAATACTGTACTGATACTAGGGTGCAAAGGGAGGAGGGAAAAATCTCGTATCTTTGAGCAATCTTTATTAAGAACATACCATCACTTGGATCAACCACGACTCCTCTGGGCTCCTGCAGCCCCTGTGATACGAGTGTTTTCATGTTACGTCCCTCCAGAGTTGCCACGAATATCTTGTCCTGGATTCGATCCGCGAGGTACACATTTCTCCCTACCCAGTCCACGGCTAATCCTTCCACGTTAGACAACCCAGCAGCTAGGACAACTTCTGCACTGGTGCCGTTAAAAAACGCACGTTTGAGACGCGGCGGAGCGCGACCTTCCGTCCAATAAATACGCTGTTCCAACCAATCAAAATCGACCGCGACTGCGTTTTGAACTTTGCGTAAAATTTCGCCTTCCCAAGAACCATCGACGGCAAGTTTGCGAATCTCATGACGCAGTAAAAACGCCAGGTAGGGTTTAAGCGCGATATCGTCGCGTTTACATGTTCTTAAACCGTGCAGTGAGTACCCACGGGCGCAAGCACACTTGTAGTGGCCTTTAAGATTAATGCAGTAGTGATTACACTGGTTTAGTTCGTATTTGTTACACTCATTGATATCTTCGCAAGATGAGCCATCTGATTGAAGCTTGAAACCAGGTCTGCAATCACAAGTGTACCCAGTGGATGTACCGTTACAGATCTGCGAGCATCGGTTCAGCTCCGGCCGACGACACGCGCCTATTTTACACCTCCATTCGTCTGCTCCATTCTTGCAATCCTCGTGACCATCGCAGACTTTATCCCTCAAAATACAGGTACCTCCACCGCAGTTAAACGATCCAGCGGGACACGAAGGTGCCCCGGTCGTTCGGCAGAGCTTCGGGTCTTCGTCAGAGCCATCCGAGCAGTCACGATCCCCATCACAAATGTAACTACTAGAGACGCAATATCCATTCTTACAAGTGAACTGTTTCTCATTGCATGTATGATTTTGGCAGTTTTCTTCGTCTGAATTGTCGCCACAGTCATTCTCGCCATCGCATAACCAGGCTTTCTGCACACAAAGACCGTTTTTACATCTGTGGCGGAGACAAAGAAGTTAAAACCACATTCAAAAGGTTTATACCTAATCCTTGACCAAGCTGTAAGCTCTAGTTCTCGCTTCTTGATGCTAGATAAGAATAAAGAAGATTGACCTTGAAAAAACATAACGAATCCTTTTTTTTTTTTTTTTGGTTAAGATAGTGATACACCTGCTATATACAATTTCTACACTGTAGTTCATAGAAAGAGCTGTTACCTGAACTGAGTTGGCTTACATGTCCTTAGCGCGCAGCCTTCTCTAGGATGTTCATCAGACGCATCGCCGCAGTCGTTGTCGCCATCACAAACGTACGACATCATCACACATCTTGAAGTGTTCTCACACTTGAACTCGGTCGGGTCACAAGTGCGGTCATTACAGTGCAAGTCGTCAGCAGATTCATCCGAGCCGTCTTCACAGTCATCGTCTCCATCGCACACAAACTTCATGGTGATACAACGGCCTGGAAACGAGTACTGCCCATCAATTGGCGGATTCATTTTGTTCACGTTTTCTCACTTTCTAAGGTTAAGGGCTAAGTATTTAAAACCTAGCAGCCTGGACACAGTTATTCAAGGAGCGAATAACGCTATCTTGTCGGGGATTGGGACACACTTTACGTAGTTATTGTAATCTTTCATCACGGAAATATGTGAAATAACAGGAAGTATACGCCCAACAAGTTGTCAATCCGAAACGTCAGTATCTTAGATAGCCTTTGATTGTGATCGTGCGAAGGCCTCGTAAAACTTTAGTTTCCATTAAAACACATACAACCAAACTTTGAGACTTCTCTCGTATACTGTCTCCAGCGACCGGAGAATTTGAAGAAAATCCAATGGATAAATCGTTTTCTAGCGTAAATGTGTTGACCAAACGTATAATTGTATCCACCGGATAGAGATTTATGTGGTGGATAACTTAAAACAAATAGGGTTTAGAGCCACCACAAGAATCGATTCTACTCCTCCAATGCACAATTTGGTCGATCTTCTGGTACCCATTTATGGACTTATACCGATACCCATCAATACTCCTGGGTGGAGTAAAACACCGCATGACCCGGCTGGCCTGGCCTCGAACGCAGCGATGCTAAACACTAGGCCAACGCGTTTGAAAAACTTAATAAACCTGTGCGTTGGACAGAAGTGAACGCCTTTACAAGAGGAAAACGTAAATCTCCATATCAAAGGACTTACCATTACGGCATGTAAACTGCTGACTAAGACAAGTCTGGTTGTTCTTTTCACAGAGTCCTTCATCGCTTCCATCACCGCAGTCATCCTCTCCATCGCATTGCCACCGTTTGGAGATACAGTGACCAGACGTGCAACGAAAACTGCTCGCCCCACAGGTTTTGTTGTTACAGACCTCTTCACTCTCATCCCAGTGATTCTCACAATCGTAGTCCTTGTCACACAGCCAAGACGAGTCTATACACACATCGGTGTTGCCACATTTGGCCTTTCCCGGTGGACATGTAACAGGAGGGCAGTCGGTTTCATCCGAGAAATCTCCACAATCGTTGTCACCGTCACATTTCCAATCAAAGTTTATGCAGTGCCCATTTGCACATGTGAACCTGTGCGTGGCGCACTCCTTTTTGGGGCAGTTTTTCTCGTCGCTGCCGTCTGTACAATCCCGGTCAAAATCGCATTTCCAAGTCGAAAGAACACACTGTCCACTTTCGCACCTGAATTCGTTTGATCTGCACTGTCTCTGAACTAAAGAAATTCAAAGTTACATCATTGGTACCAAAGTGGAATGAGATACTGAAGGTTTTAAGGACAAGCTCGCTTGCCCACTCAATCGTTCCGTCTTCTATTCATTCTTAATTTCGCTCCTTCGAGTCATCCCTTCATGGGCGGTTTTGTACTAGAGGACCTATCCGTACACTCGTGCCGTGCGCCTAGTGTACGGAGAGGATGAATAACAAGATGAACTAGGAGAGACAAACTATGCGAAATAATACGCGCGCGATGGAAAAAGGAATCGGCGCGAGTGTTTTTGGCGGTAAATTGACTGTGCATCTACTCCTCCCTTAACCCAACATTAACCCTATTCTGTTAGCAATTGATTTTTTTTTGGTTAGGGGAGGGGTAGGTGCACAGTTGCTGTGACACTGACAAACAATCATACCGCACAATGCAGAAAGCTCATCGGAGCCATCACCACAGTCGTCTTTCTTGTTGCAGACCATTGAGTCAAGCAAACACTTCCCGTTTGAACAAGCAAACTGTCTCCCTCTACAAAAGACTGAACTGTTAACACACTGGAACCCTTCTTTCAGTATAAGTCCTTCAGGGCAAGTACAAACACGAAGTCTATCTTGAACGGTGCAGAAATGCGAGCAGCCTCCACCATTTAAACACGGGTTGACAGTGCCTTTAGAGCAAATCAATAGCAAAGAGTTACAACCACTTAAAAAACTGTCGAGAGCCACTACGACTTTCAAAAGTGGTCTTTCTCTCTCTTAATTAGGTTCAAATTGTACAGTTTGACAAAATCCAATAAAGAAGACCTACCATGAGGGTGAACAAGTCACCATTTAACTAAACAGGTCACAATGGCTTGACCTTGCTACTATTAACAATGACGTGATTCCCGCGTGACCTAAGCGCCATTGAAAACTATGGGACAATAGCGTAACCTGGCCTCTCTTAACACTGACGTGATATAGGCGTCACCAAGTCAAAAGTAAAGATAACAGTAACAATAAGCTGGTAAGTATTAAAATGACGTGACACTGGCACGACTTGATGATACCTAAAACAACTAGGTGAAATGATGTGACTTGTCCAAAATTGCCAATGGCGCGATACAAGCGTTACACAGCCACAATTTAAAGTAAGAAGTTATTATGTTGGAGCGCAACAATTGGCAACTATTCACCGAGATAGAGGTGGCCAGTGGCGGATATTTACCAAGTCGCGAAGCGGCGAGATAAGTTTCTGTCTCATGCCACCGTCATTGAGGTGAACAGTTGTTTCTGTCTACGCTAAAACAGTGATACGATATTTCACAAAAAAACGATTTTATTCCTGCAACGCTCACGATATCTTCGGACACAAATCGCAGGCGAGTTGCTAGGAGGTAAATGTAGAGGTATTCGGAATTTAAGTAGCCAATCAGAGTGCGCCTCAACTATATCCTCTGTTTTAGTACATACTAACATTGTATATTACAGTAACATATGCAAGATTCACGAGGTTTCTTTATTTAGCAACACGTCGCATGACTAAGGTGGTAAAACAAATCAAGACTATAATCCAAACACTCACAATTCTGCCGCTCTTCAGCGAACAATAGCATCCCCGTCGGTGAAAAATTCAAATCTGCTATAACAGAAGGCTCTCCGGCGGTGTATTTGTCTGCGCGCTTCACAGATTTCATTTCGTCAACCCAATACAAGAATTCTCTTAGGATACCCAAGAACAAGGCGTTTGGAGATAGTGAAAATTCCCGACGACGACTCGTTCCGTTCAAAAACACACTGTTCACTCTGCAAATGAAGAGACAATGAATGCGGCAGTAGTTCAGACTAAAAAACGGCAGGGGGAAATAAATCATACTCTGAAAGCACTTTTCAACTGAGCGCCAAACGTAAAGCATAATTGCGTTGGTTTCATTTAAAAATTCCACGGAGGTCGATTAAAAGACAAAACAAAGCAAAAAAGATGAACCAAAACAAAAGAAACAAAAACTAGCAATTGAAAGCTTCAAAGATAAGCTGCCTAGCCTTCAATTGAAGTACTTTTAGAAGAAGTTTATTATTCCCCTCAAGTCTACAAGTATACTGTCCGACTGATCTGTAAAAACCGGGTTGATGAGTGAATGTTAAGTACTTATTGACTGACGCATGGATTTCGCGACGCTTGCGTAAAGTCCGGCCCGACTTTATTCAGTCCGCAAGCATTTTATCATTTGACCTTCGTTCCTTCTTTTCTTTCTTTCTTCTTTCAGCTCGCATGTCACAAGGCCGTGTGGTTTCTCCGGCCCGTTCAAGCCGTTGCGTGCGGCCCTCCTACGGGAATAATCCTTTGCGATAAAGCGCGCACGGGGGCGCACGGATCATATGATACAATACGAGCTGAAACTAACCACTTTTCCCGTTTTGTAACACAAATTTACTTACACAGAGTACATGTCAACCCAGTAGAGTCTTTCTTGTGAATAATCAAATGTCATTGAATATCTTGGTTTCGTGGTAGAGTTGACAAGAGTTTGTACATTGCTACCATCCGTGCTCGCAGTTTTTATTTCTGAATGCGCACTCCACACAAGGAGCCTAAGAGAGAATGAAAAAACAAACAAACAAACAAAAGAACAAGTTAGGTTTAGGTTCCCTAACGTTTTTGTTGGCACAAAGGGATTCATCTGACAAATTCGAAATTTGCTTGTTCATTAAAAAATTTATAAGAGCGCCTTTCGTTTATTGTGTGGTTTGACTGTCCAGGTGAGGTAGTCCCGAAATGGACTGGACTCTTGTCGGCGGTAGTGACTAACGTTTCGAAAACCAGAACGAAATTCAACATCAGAGTCACACGAAGACTTGTTTGTTAGTCAAGTGGTGCAAAATCCTGGCTCGTGAAAAGTGACTGGTCCGAGTTTTGCCGTCATGTCAATTTATCTAAGACTCAATAAGCGTTAGTCATTTGCAATTGGGTAGTTTCGTTCGGTTGATAAAGGTAAGTCATTTTGTTCGACTGTTTGCTTCGTTGATGTCGTGAACATTCATTGGTATTGTGCCAGAAATTGTTGACATCTGTCAATACGAATCTACTTCATGCTGGTAAACCCGCTTTCCAAAGTCAGTCGTAAAAAATAGTTCGTTCTTTGGGCTTAACTCCAACCCTATATCAATAGCGGTGTAAGCGAGTCGCTAACTTTCTTCAAGGTAAGTGATGACATCAGCGTTTCTCGTTGATCGTAAAGGTACAAAGTTTTGAGGCTTATGCCAGTCTATCCCGTGAAGGAGCCTAGTGTCCAAGTATTTCGCACGAGGTTCATTGCAGTTAACCTGATAAATCATTTAGCAGAATTCTTAATTTGCGGAGACCACTCACATCATACCTTTTACAGGGCAGGACTATTAACGGATATGATGACACACCAGCGTTGGTAACAACGATCTGTCGATTTGAGGAATTAACATGCATTTTTACGATACGTTTCGTAGTGTCCTCTGTCCAATAAAGTACTCTAGTAATCCAGTCAAATGTAAGAGCCTTTGTGATAACGTCTAAATGGATTATAAAAAAAGAAAAGAAACAAAAACAAAAACAAAGTCATTACAAGTCAATAAGTGGGTCAGAGTTTCCATTAAGTTTATGTTCATCGTTAGTAGTAGTTGTTGTCACTTTTCTTTTATTGTTAACGTTCATGTTTTGATTTGGGTTTTGGACGATGTTTGGCAATTTCGGTTTGTTGGTCTTAAATTTACTTAGTTTCCCCCTACTTTTATGGTATTGATATAACGGTAATCAAGTGCCACGAATCTTTGAAAGGTGGTTTGAAAACTTTCATATCATGCCACTAGCAGAGGACTGCTTCTACTTACAAACGACACATTAGCTACAGGAAACAGAAATCATAATAGAAATTTTCTCACTCCTTCAATGCACCTTTTTTCCCGTTTTTTTTTTTTTTTGGGATAATATTCAGTAAAGGCTTGGCTAAATCTATATATTATTCAGTAAACCATGCCCGAACCTGCCACAAATCTTGTGGTCTTGCACAGTGTAAGGGCAAATCAATTAGAGTCGATTTTATCGCAAGTAATCTATGATCATAGTATAATTTAGTATCAGCAACTGAGTTGAAAACGTAAATTGGCCACTGTGAATAGTTTCAAAGCTGACATTTCGAGCGTTAGCCCTTAAACTCTTTACGGTAGCCAATTTACGTTATCAACTCAGTTGATAATACTAAATTATCCTGTTATACTCTCCCACCGACCTGACAACCCAGTTTCTTTAGAAAGTCACCCCCTTATTTATAGTCTATCATAAGGCTGAAATGGGTGAGGCGACTGTTTAGAACTTTCCAACCACCCTCTTTGCTAGTTATATACTAAACTAGTGTAAGAGCGTGAAGATGTGCTAACACTCATTGAGTCCACATGCTGTTGACATTTGGGCTGAACACCTGTAGTAATTCTTTTCGTTCTAATTTGACGATACACAATCGAATAGTTATCTAAATTACCTACTTTGTAACAACTCTATAATGATCACATACCCTTTAAAATAACCTTCATACCAGTGCCATTCAGAAACACCTTTTTGATATCGTTCCCGTCGGCATCAGCAAAGTAAATAAGCTTTGAATCGTAGTCATAGTCGAAAGCGACGATATTGATTCGTCTTCTCCATATTGTGGGGTAACTTGGCGGCCTGCTCAGACGACTAGAAGCTCTGAACTTAAATCTCCTTTTCGAAGTAATAATAAGGAGGCTTGTGTCATTTAAGCAGGATTTGCCATCGGGTGCCGTACGGCCTGACACACATACACATCTGAAAAACAAAGAGAGAAGATATTCGCATAAGCCCTTGCCACAATTATTTGCCGTTCGTTGCAAACAATCCATTGCGTTGGCAGGAAATGAGGGATTCGATGACGTTTACAAGGGGACTCCAGATCAGATCGAGGTCTCTCTTCAAAACCGATTGTTCAGGCTTGCAAAAAGACTTGTTACCGACACTGGCAAAAGCCAGACAATATCGCAGTTGTGAAAAGTTGTAGGAATGAACAGTTAAATAAATAAATGAATGACGCGTCAGTTTGTAAGAGTATAAAGCAGGATCAACTTACCTTCTCCGGGACGAAGACACGGCTAAGCACAGCTCTGCACAGCCACCATTATTTGCGCATGGGCCTCCAGGTGGCTGCCGCTGAGGTGAGAACACGCGCACGTCTCTCAAACCATCCACCTGCGATCTTATGACCGTAACGTCTGTTCCATTATACTTATTTGCTCTTAGGATCGACTTACGCTTCCAGGTCGTCCAGTATACAAACTGGTGATGTACGGTTATGGCATATGGCTGATCCATGGCAGAGCCAATGACAGAAACAACATTACCTTGAGGATGTAAAAATTTCACCAAAAGATGGTGAATGATAAATTGCTTCCCCACGTTATATGGTTTTGTGCCAGGGGTGAAAAACCGGCGAGCCAGAAAAGAAAAAAAAACAGTCGGAGTAACAAAGAGAATCATTAACGAACGAAAAGGCTCACATCACCTCCGCGAATCAAACACGGGCCACGGCACTGAGAGGAGAATGCTGTAATCACTGCGCTCCCCGTGTTCGCATATGGATAACCAATTCGGTGCCCCTGCATAGACCAAGGTGTGTCTCAATTTTAAGGATCCACGAATTGTATTTACAGACACAAACAAATTAAAAATTTCTTACAAGAAGCCTCCACTGGTTTAAAGTTATGAAAATGTCTTGTCTTATTAAGATTAGTTAGAAAATATGGGAAACAAGACGAAAAATATCTGAAAACCGGAAGCTCAGCTGCTATATTGTGCCGTCTGAAATCATACGTTTACCGCAATGAGCATCTAATAAAACCTGTTGTGCTCATGTAGGTCCCACGGACAGAATGTAGATAATCGTGGCATTCGCATAAAATTTTAACTTACAACATCAATTTTGATAATTTGTTACATTGCAAGGAGCACGAAAAGTTGGCTTTTTATAGAGTGCAACTTAGAAGCGAACAACCAAGAAATAAACCCATGTTCCTAGATTTGATCCTAGGACCTCTGGATTTCAAAATCCGGCGGCAAAACCCACTTATCTTCTCCACTTCCTAAACCACAAATGGAAAAAAAACAGTAGGTTCTTACCACCATCAAGATCCATTCGCCACATAGCGTCGAGGGAATCCTGCACGTAGTACACCTTATCTTCCTCGTAGTCTATGGAAATTCCCGCACCTTCTTCACCCGCGTGTAATGGATAAATCTGATGATCCGAACCGTCCATTGCGGACCTGTGTATCCTCGGACGGTGTGTGTTCAAGTCATAGTCTGTCCAGAATAGCAGCCCCTTGGCTGGGTACACGGCAATCGCCTTAGGTCTATTGGTGTAGTCAGAAGAGATAACCACTGTTCTGTATGTACCATCCAGTCTGCTGACCTTGTGGAACAAGAAGAAAAACTGATTTATCATTTATCTAATCTTTTTCCACTCGAAGGAAAGAAAGTCAGAGCAAGTTGAATCGTCTGAAGTTTGACATGATGCTCAAGGGCGTAATACACCAATTCTGACTCAATTTGGACCGACGTAATTCAGACTCAATTTGGAATCAGTTTGGGCTATCAGAACTGGCTGCACGAACTGGCTACACGAACTTTCCTGTTCAGGAAAAAAAAGTGGGGTTGGGGGCGGTCCGAGGAGTTACAGAAGCTATTCGGGTTTAATTGGTAGTTAGTTTCGTCGCTCCCGCACCGACTATTCGCGAGATGAACAGGATTTTTAGAAGAATGAATATTGTAGACAAGAATGCAATAAATACTACCAAAACAGCGCGACTAACGAAATTTGGGGTTCCCTCTTCATTGTGCACAAACGAGAACCGTTTCTTTCAGGTTGTTATGACGCAATAAGTGTTCTCTTTTTGCACTGTCTACTTAATCACATAGAACCTTTCCGTTTTGTTTTGTTTTCCGGTGGCTTTTGCAGTTCTTTGCACCATTTCTGCAACAATCTAAAAACAATCATCACCAAAAACATTTAGGGAATGTTTTCTGCGAAGGGAAAAGCAAACCAGGAGTCAAGAAACTAAACAACGAACAGACACGCTAAAAAATTTGTTGTTTTGAAGATTTTCTTATGTCATTCTACTCTACTACAATTAGTCAAAGCACAATTGACCTCTCAGAGCCAAACCAAAGTGTTCTCAGTTTCCGTCTTTTCTAAGCTGATAACGCCATTTTCATGTGTGAAAGTTTATTAATTAGGATTGATAGACAACACTCAATCGTCAGGTACCTCGATGACGTTGGAGCTAGAATCTGTCCAAAACATGTTTCCAGCGACCCAGTCAACCGCAAGGCCTTGTGGTCTTCGAATCCCGGTGTTAATAATGTCTTTTTTTAATGTCCCAACACGCGATATTTGACCAATTGTATTCGTGCGATCGTCCGCATAAAAAATCATACTGGAGTTGGCATGAAAGTCTATCGCGAAGCAGTTCCGCACGACTCCTAGCGGCTGCATGACTTCTGTTTCACTCTTTGGGTCCAGAGGAGCACCTTGGATCTCTGCGAACGTTTGACAGTATCCATATTAGGTACTTTGAATGATGGAGAGGAGAAATGATTAAAAGATAAATAATTGCAGCCAAACAGGTAAAATGATGACAGACATAGCTGCTAAAGGCCGTTAGACTTACAAAAAGACGCAAAGACTAGCCAACACACAGAGCAACTGACAGGCCGGCAGGCTGGCGTACTGACAGACAAACAAACAGACAAATAGATAGAGAGATAGAGAGACGGACAAGAAGCCCATCCGACAGCCAGGAAGGAAGGCAGACAGGTAGGAAAGTAGACAGATAGACAAACTTGCCAACATAACGGCCAACACACAGTTTACATTACACTGACGTAAGATAGGCACACGGAAAGAGAAAGGGTCAAAATGGTTAGTTTCAAGAGCAAATTTCACCCGGTGGCCGATCACTGTGTCTTTTGATCAAACTCTACAAGGTAAATCACGGAACAATATCCAAACAGCAACAGACATTATGCTAACCTGTTAATGTTGCGTAAATTAAGAAGGTGTTCACACTCTCGCAGGTTTTTCCATCAGTGGCTAACGCATATCCCACTGCGCATGCGCAAGAAACTTCCATCAATCCCATCGGTAGACACAGCTGGGTACAATTACCATTGCTCACAGAACAACCACTTGTACCTGAAATAATGGTATAAACCGATCGCTTAACAACTCAGATGATGGCAGTACTATTGGCATTGACATACTCATAATTTGAACAACGGGGGTTTAGGCCACTAGATTGATTCGGTTTGCAGTTGCTTAAATTCAGTGCTGACAAATCTACAGTGCCAACAGTAATCTGAAATAACTGGTTTTATTTAACTTTTCTCTGTGACAAATCTAAAAACATCCCGCCACCCGCTAAACCAACTGAACTACAAATAATAAAGGGGGTAAGTTTCTAAAAAAACTGTGGTGCTGCGTCGGTGGGGATAATTTTGGTTTTATCAACTGACTTTATAATGTAAATTGGCTACCGTTGAGGGTTTCAAAGCTGACGTCTCGAGCGTTAGCCCTTCTTCAGAGCGGATGGAAACAAACCGGGAACGAGACAGAGTTATTGGCTCCTTTGTCCCGTAAAGAAAAGTGCTCACAACTGAATGAGATTATTCAACACGTTCTTTTGAATAAACAATTTCTTTTTATTCAAACAGTACCTGGTTGGTTTTCTTTGGCGAATACGCGCACACCATACAGATTCTCCGTATCCTTCTTCAACACAGTCTTTCGTCTCCTACTCTTAGAACCTCGATAGATGCTTTCTGTCTGCCAGTCGGTCCAGAAAATCTTATCCTTGTAAATAACTAATCCAAATGGATGCGGTAAGTTCGCATAGTGTACTTTGATTAATGCTCCATCGAACGACATGGACCCAATGTTGTCTTGTCCAGCATCACACCAATATAATCGATTGGAGCTAAAATCTATAGCTAATCCATTAGGGTATTTGAGACCAGAACTCTTCAAAGAGGTTCTGTTTGAGCCATCCATGAGAGCACGCTCTATCCTGGGGTCATTTTTGTCCCAGTCGGTCCAGAAGAGCAGACTTCATGGCAAAAAAAAAATAAAACCAAGCAAACAAAAGAAATAAATACATAAACAAAACTGAACAATACGGCAACAATGAAGGTGGTTGAAAAAGGTTGCGTTGTTTTGAAGCAGCAATGTTTTGATGGATTCATGTTGCCACAACTTTCCGTTTAAATCCTTGACAATAACATTAAACAAATAACTGAACACCGTAAAACTAACTCCTCTTGGAAACGCCCTTGTTTTCAGCTCTGTGTGTTGTTAATTTAAA